CCGCACTTTGGAGCATATCAATGACATGAAAACGGATTTCATCGTCAGCCATTGCCTTCCCTTTGCTAACCATCAGTTGGATACGTTCTTCAGCTGACATGCATCTATGGGCAAAGCTTCCTTGGCGGCCAAAACCAAAAGTGGCATGTGGAAACTCTGCTTCATACCTGGCCAAGTCAATCTCCTGAAACTGGGACGCACTTTGCACATGTTCAGGGCAAGTCTGTGGTTGGTCCTCTGACAGAGCCGCCACTGCGTCTCTTTCATCACTTTCAGAGTCACCGTTACCCCAAATCCAAGGTCGCGTCACTGTCTGCCTTGTGGAAACTGCAGTGGCAAATGCTTGTTTCATCCTAGCTTGGAGGATTGCTGCTTCAGCGTGGCTTGTGGGCAACATGGTGTCAAACAACGCATGGTGCAGGAAGGCAATACTCAATACCCCGCACAAATGAGTGCTGAAAAACAACCGTTGCTGTCTGTTGATCAAAAAACTCGAAAAACCCAAGGCCAGGCTCATGTTTTCAAGCAACTTGTCAAGATCAGCATGAGAATTACACGCTGCATCCCATGTGACAATGTTCAAGTGATTTTTCATCGGCACCAGCCAAACCGGTACCCAGTGCGCTTCAACACGGAAGCACGCGATGACTTGGACTCCAGCAGCAAAGACCTCAGGGTGGTGCCTACACCATTGTTTGCATGTAAAGCCTTGGTTACGTTGCCAGGACGCACAAAGCAGCGGATCAATGAACAGGGGAACAGATGTTCCCGGCTTCAGGCTGTCGCTAGCCGACATTTTCTGTTGGAACTGTCGGAGGTGAAACCGAATTTCATCATCTGCCCAGGCATCTCCTTGCTTGTTCAAAATTTCAAGTCGATCACATGGGAGGACAAATTGGTTTCTCAATGCATCCAGGTGCTCATGACAGTTGATGCACGGCGGAGACAGTTGAACAAACTGATCGGTCTGCAAGGCCAACAGGGGGGCCGCAGAAATCCATGATTGGGCAAAATCCGTCTTCCCATATGGCTGAGTGGCTACTACTTCATCAGCAGCATTGACACACTTGGGACCCGAGTCATGCAGGGCCACATGGTCAATTTGGGCCTGGGCAGGGTCAACAATGGGTTGTGACCATGTTGCCGTTGGATCAAGGGCAGTGGAGATCACCTCATGGCCAGGATTGTCCAAATCATGTCGTCCAACATGTGCATGCAAAGTGCTAGGAGGATTAGACACTCCAACCTGGTTCCCCTCCAAAGACATTCGGCAATCATGATTTTGAAATTCAACCGGCATTATAGGGAGTGGCCGGCATTCCCCAGGATGTTCAGCCACTAAAGGGCTAGGCACGGGCAATTTCGGGAGTGGCCCGGATTCCCCTCGATGGTCACTCGTCACTGCATTTTGGGAGAGTCCTTTGACACAAACATCCATGGAATCAGCATCCTCAGGACACGAATGGACAGGTTTGCACTGACGGACAAAGACAGTAGAACCTTGGGACAAACCATGTTCATGGGACAGCACTTTACCAGTTCCGGCAGCAACAACCACGGGTCCAAGATCCCCGACCAGTTTCACCTGAGCAGCAAGCAAGGCGTCAATCGTGGATTCCTGACTCACCAAACATTGGACTGGAGCCTGGTCACAATCCGGGAAAAAGGCTTGGCAAACATCAGGTGGGCAATCAACCTGCATGGCCTCTGAGCAACTTGGAGGGGCAAACCATGGTGTTTCTGGTTCGTCAAATGGGGGTGTCTCCAGTCTTTCACCTACAGCGGGCACTTCCTGGAAATGAACACTGGGTGGCCGAGACGACAACTGTTTCATGCGAATGATGGCGTCAAGAATGGCTGCAAGAGAGATGCTGCACTCAGAAATTTCATCCCACTGTGGTAGATACATCAGCTCTGGCAAAGAAAGATCAGAAAATTCCTGCCAAAAGGAAATCAGCGAAGCAGTATTGCGATTCTCAACCGGTTCATTCTCAGCCTGCCAAACCTGGCGGCAGCGCATGAGGAGCCAGGCCCTGAATGCCTGTATTTGAGCCAATGGTGAGAACAAAGCCTGGCCAAATTGTTTCAAATCCAGCTGACTGGCTACAGAGCTGAACACCCACAGTGCCTGGAGAGGGCTGGCCAGCTGGCCAATAGCACACAATGTCAACCGGACTTCGAGGCCATAATCGATCACTGGATCCATCGCGTTCAGTGCTAAACACTCACTTGGATGAACATGTCGAATTGATGTAACCCCCTCAGAGTTCGGTGCGCTTCTGACCAGGAGGCCAAACAAACCCTTGGTTTCCAATCTGAATTTGGACAATCCTTGGTTCCGGCACCCGCAAGGGCATGGGAGTAATTGATTACCCCATGAGTGCAGGGCACATGGGGCAATTCCCTTGGCATCAAGAAGGAACCTAGTGAAGGACCCATCATTCAGGCCAAAAGCGGAAGCCTCTTCATGGTTCAGCGTCAAGGCTAACTCATCTCTGGGGTCCCAAGGGCAAATGAAAGGAATCACTTGAGAAACATGGGTCACATCATCAAACGTCGGCCATGAGTGCAGGTCAACAGATCCTACCAACGGGGAGGTAAGAACCCACCATGCCCTGCTTCGGCGTGTTGGCCATGCCATGTCAAGTCTCAGTTCACACTGCGCACCATGAAACCCTGTGATATTTGTGAAATGAGCAATCTCTTCCTTCACAAAATCGTTCTGGGCGGCTGGAGAAACGCATTCTAGCACTAGCACATGAACCCTCATGAAATAAGCCATGTTCAGCACCTTAGTAAGGCAAGAAGCTCTCTCGTCCTCTCTCCCTCTGCAATCACCTAAGCGGCTGTATGGTTGACAGGCGAATCCTGCCGACATGCAGGAGGCTCCACGTGCAGCATGCCATGTGTTGAACATGACATCATGGCAACCTACATCACCCACAACCACATCACAGTTGAATTGCTTCTGGAAAAGTGACAGCATCCTGGAGTTGTGGTCAACCGCCACCTTGACGAAAAAACCCCCCGCATGAGCGCCTTGCGACATGCCACCGAAGCCGGAGCAAACATCAATTAACTCATGGAGGTTGTGCCAGGAAGGCAAGTCATGGTACATCACCTTTGTTTCATGTGTGGCTTTCACAAGTGGTACAGGGAACTGCTTCACAAATTCAGCATCAAGCAAAGTGTAGGAATCATGACCAAAGTCAAGAAGACCTGAAAAACCGAATGTCACCTCCGTGTGATCAGCAACCATGATGTGCCTCTCATGCGTAATGTCAAAGATTTTCATCTTACACACCAAGCTGATGGGACTACCTTCCAGGATGCCACCGAACTCCATGGGAAAAGCCCTAGCCATGGCAACCAAGTAAACACACGTGCCCCGGATCTGCCATCACAGCCGCACCGCTGGGAGGAACTTGGGGCTTCACGGCTGTGTTCCAAACCACCAACCAGATCAACAGTGAATGCATGGCAGTTTTCAACCCTTGATGAGACGAAGTACAAGTCTAAGATAGTCCCAGCATGCATGCTAAATAGATGTTTGTCCGAAAAAAGGGGTCGCCCCAAATGTGATCTTTGAACATGTTAATAAACATATTATATTCATCTAGCTGAGCGACTCCCATCTTGGCACAAGTGGGATACCTGGACCTGGACGTCCCACCCACTGATTGGTTTGGATGAAGATGGGAAAATCCCGAAGCTCGTATAACCTTCCATTGTTCGAGGATGATGACGTAAAATGAATCATTGATAATCATTGATAGATACAAATCGCCACTGTAGAAACAGTTTGGTTAGCTTACAAAAGGGTAGTAACTTGCAACTGATGAGCAAATGCACTGGTTCAAGAATCAACGCAGTCTGGAAATTCAGTTAGAACAGAAACAAACCAACCATAAAATACTATAATTATAGTCTACAGTGTACCGCCAGCCTGGTGTTTGCAGAAATCTTCATTGAAACCTGATGAAATGTCTGCCATAAGTCCCTGCCATACCTATTCTAGTTCGATATCATGAAGTGTCTGAAAGAAGGTGTTATGGGCACAATGGTTTGCGATATACTCCATTTCCGAAAACATCCGGGGAGATATGTCTTTGTCTCCGTCCACAGGAACAAAAACGCTGGAATGTGTGGAAATGCGGCCATACTGCTTGGTCACATGTTCAGTCACCTAAAATGAAAAAACAAGGGGTGCTGTGGGACATAGGTCAAGCCACAGCAACTATGAAAAATACACCAATCCCATCCTACCCAACCGATAGATACGAGTATCTCAGGTTTGAATTATCCCCAACAAAACAAGGTAGTCTCATAACACGAGTACAAGAACCAATCAAAAGGTCCATAATAAACCACATATATTTGATGCTTTATACAATCCATTTATGGTAATTTGGAGATGGTGGATCCTATTGTCCGACTTCTTCACCACTGGAAAGCAGCAAACAACAAACACACAAAACAAACCAAACCAAACTAAAACAACACAACACAAACAACATATATGGTATTACTTGTAGTAGGGACATGGTGAATACATGTTTCTTTTTTCTAGCAACATTATATATAAATGAGTGGCGGACAAAATTACTTACTACCCGCAATGGGCATGGCCAAAGCGGGTTGTCCCCTATCCGTTGTGAAGGTTTGTAATTACCCTCACGCTATGTGCAAAAATAGGGTATCGGTAAGTGGGTGGTCCCCTATCGCTTGTGAATGTTTTCGCACGGATTTGAACATCCCATGTCCACTCCCCACTACTTTAGTCTTCCGCGAATTTTGTCGGTTATTCTGTTATGTCTGGTAAATTATATAATATTTCACTAACCTGAATTAAGGCCATTTGGGGATGGTTTCCCTTATTAACCATGATTCCAGTGAGGGAAAACAGTAAGTTCGTTATAATTTACCCAGATATGTCTATTGGTTCTGGGCAAGTCTCATGAAGTCATGAAAAAAGGTGCCAGACATCCTGGGCAAGCGACTCATCCAGAGGCCTCTCGGAGGCTTGCCAGCTTTTCAAGGCACCTCAAGGAATTCGGCGGGCCCCAGTTCGTTGGCCAAGTTGCTTTACGCCTATAGCTATAGCAAACATGATCAACTTGTGATCATGGAAATTGGGATTGTACATAATGTTACATAGAAAATGGTGATTTGTAGATAATTGATGTGAGCTAAAGTTGGTGTTTAGCATAGATAACTAGGGTATACGGTGGATATCTCTATAGTTAGATGGGGAGGGGAGCCCACTGTGTAGGCTCGTGGCCATGGCCATAATATTCAAACAAACCTGTGAATTGGTATAAATTATGGGGATATATTGGGATTGTAATGGGAATATCTAAAATATTAGGGGAAAGGGATTAGTTTTCAAATGCTTTCAAGGGCTCAACACAATTTCTACTTCTGATGGTTCATCGGGAGGGAAGGTTTAGCATTGGGGATTCCAATATGATGGTTTTAATCGGGTAAACACTTGTTCATGGGGGATCCGCAATGCCATGGTTTCCATCCCCAATGGCATCAAACACAATAGGGCGTCATTTTGTTTCAATCATCTTCTTTCTAAGGGTGTATACTCTCTCTCTCTCTCTCTCTTCACGAAATGCAGATAGCACGGGTCTTTGATGCTGCAAATATATAATTTCAACTGTTCAACCCATATTTTATAGTCCTATCATGTCCTATCTAAGTAGTGCTAGTAATTGTCATTTGCTGTGTCCATGCTTATGCTGGTCATACCCATCGAGTATTCATCAGTAGGGATCATCATCTGGATAGGATGGTAACAACATGAAAGCACCAACCAGTTGTATCATATTCTACCAATCTTTAGGCAGTTGGGTGGTATCTCCAGTTGAAGCCAGATTTTCCTTGTTTGATTACACTGAACTTGGATTTTATCAAGAGCCCCCAAAAGAACTAACAAACTTATGCCGTACGCTCCCAAAACACTCCCATATCTGGCGGCGTATCATAAGCAAAATTAAAAGAATCACCGGCCCTGCAAGCCCATTTAAGCTCTAAAAATCCCCATCCAAATTGTAAGGCACAATTAGTGTTGCTTGAAACCGCTATGTTCCATCGGAAATCTTAATAAATACCCTGCAAACAAAAAAACACGGCAATGTTTAGCTCCTTAGGTCATTAAACTCCCATCAACATTGCATCCAAAGTAAAGTACTAAACCAGCCGTTCAGTTGCTTACCCAAGAGTAATTGTTGGTTGTATCCCAGTATTGTATCCGCGCAACTGTTAGTTCAACCCCGATTGAACCTCCATTATTCCCACTTTTCCACGCTTAACTGAAATCAATACCTAAATTCATTAACATATTCATGCGGCAAACCCAGCAATAAACAATCCCCAAAAATATCCCATAAAATCACCTGACTCGGGCTGAAAACATTACATTCAAAACATGACATGACTTGGATGATTTTTGGGGTACGAACCCTTCATTTACCAAACCTCCACACAGGATGGTGCCCCCCAGTTATAAGTTGGTTTATATATATATATATACCATTAACATCCATGAACTAGTTCGTTATATCTACCATAAACTATAAAAATCAATCCATAGAAGGCAAAACTTAGCTATAAAATGGGGGGGTGCCATATTTTATATATTTATAGGTTTTTTTTTACCTATCAAAGATGGTGATGTTCCATCGCTTTTTGGGTCGCCAGGCTCCAGGTCAGAGCTGCAGTTCGATGATGCTCCTCGGAGCGCATGGACTTGAAGGCCTGGCAGCCAAGGCGGAAAAATCAAGGGATTTAACGGTGATTTGAAGGGATTCAAATGGTGGATTTTATTGATGTTATATGTGTAATATGTTTATTCATACTGAAGTAGATATTGGATTTTTTGGGTTTCGTCCTTAATATATTCGTGAGGATGGTTTGAAATTTCCAAATGCTATCTCTTCCAGGTTGACTGTAGGTATATATAATCTGTATGTATATATAATACACGGACTATGCTGTTTTCCCCATCTCTGGCACATAGCTGCGATTGCTGCGGCCTTAGAAAAACATGTACAATGATATTTATAATGTAATTCATTGTGATTCTATACACATGCAGAATATAACCAATAAACATGAAGACAAGTAATCAACGAAATATGGCAAATATGAAAACAAATTATCGCTATGGAATGTAACAAAATCCTGGAGATTGCAGTGGGGGATTCGCGAACAACATGAAAGAATCAAGGGGAACATCTAATAAATAATTCAGCAACTTAAATTCGGGCTATAATGCATGGAGCGAAAGCAATGCCACAAAAGAAACATCAAAACAAACGCAAACCCCCCCACGATGCCAGAGGATAGAGATACATATACAGAAATTAGGGGGTCCCAAAACAAAACACAAGCTAAATGCAGGTTGTAGAACCGCCTTCCCCAGAAGGCAATACCAAGTTGGACCAAGTTGTTGTAGGTACTTGAAGAATCATCTGAATAAAAAACTGGCAGGTCAGCTATCTCCCAGCTATCTAAGGCGGCTGATCATCATCATGACTTCTCTGTTGAATGATGTTGAATGGCTATAATTGGGGAGTACTGTACCACATTTTCAGACACACCCATATGCAATTAACTACCCTCCAATTACATCAATGGAAAATCCGACATTTACAACTGATGTTCCAAGCTGTAAGCTTCCATTTATAGGATACGACCCTGCCATTTCTAGGGGATTCTCCATGGTGTCCTATAGTTATGAGTTGTTGTCCAGGCACAAGCCCATGAATGCCAAATGCAAAATGTCCTTATCGGCTTTGGGGCCCCAAAACTATATGCATTCCCAATCTGCAAATGTTATGCATTTTTGAATATGTTGCTGGGGTACCCCTTGTGCCTAACAACAACTCATAATCCTATAGATTTTCCCAAACAAACCATCGGCAAAACCCCCTGGCGCCACGTTTCAGAAAATCGGTCGACCTCGCGCACGGCCCAGCTCTTTCGGCTGTAGGGGTCGATATCCTTTCAGGCCAAAGTTTGTGTTTGGGGGGCAGAAAACGATGATTCAACTGGCAAGAATCTGCAACAATAGTGATTCAACTGGCAGAATCAACATTGCTTTGACAGGCAGAGATGGCGATTTAACCAGCAAAACAGGAGGATCTAACTGCCAAAGGACGGCCTGGGCCAAGCTTTATTGTTTCTGTTGTGGTTTAAAGGAGGGATTTGGCCAACAGTCATATCCACGACCTGGACATAAGTGGACAACCAATTAGTTACATGTATATATGCAGGTGTATGTATGTATGTATGTATGTATGTATATATATATATATTATACATATCATATATATACATATATCATCTAGGATCCAACATGATTCACCCATTTGGCGTCTTACTATAAACCAGGGTTCAACCGACCAATTACTAAGTGGGATCATCCTCCAAGTATGGTTGGGATGTTGCATGTTGAGCCCGTCCCACATCTTGGTGGATCATAGTGGATCCCTTGAACAGTTACCAAACCGTAGAATCGGTGAGAATTTCAGCATGCAACTGGAATATGATTTACATTTACATGAGGATCTACATGATCTATATTGATCTATGTGATGATTTATGATAGATCAATAATCACATAGATCATGATATGTTCAGTTCATTCATCTCCTCATATCCGGCGACCATGAACCGCCTGGCAATATCTTCTGACGTCACTCATCGATGCCACACCTGGCAAAGATGTATACCCCTTGACGCATCGGTCAGACAAGTTAAGAATCTGGTGGGTCGAGTTTGAATCTGATATAATCTATATATATAATATAATATGTATATAATATGTATATATATATATATGGGTTATATGGGCATGAAGCAAAACAAACATATCATCACATATCATCAACATATCTACGTATATATATATATATATATATATTGCAGTTCTATGAGTGTTTACCTGATGATAGTATACTGTATTATCCGGTATCATCCATGTGGGTTACATTATCATAGATGTCTTTGCCTGCACTCTAGTTTGATAGAAGTCGTTGGATTGTTTATCAGTACCTGGGGTTCAATATTTATTTGATGGAATCCTGGTACTTTTCAACCAGACATATATAGTTATAATTATGTATATAGGTATGTATGTATATATATACTTATGTAGATGCGTATACTTATATACATTTCAACCTAACGCATATCAGAAATTCAGACAATGTTGGAAGTTTGGCCTTACAGGTGCCTGTAAAAAATGGCTGTGCGATTGTTTAAGCATCAATCTGGGTGGATTCCTACAACTGGATACAACCGGCCCATGGCTGATGAATCAAGCTGAGCTAGCCCCAATCAGTGCCAAAATAGTTTTCATGGAAGTTGATGCTAGTTATATACTGACCGCAAAAAAAAAAAAACCTTTCATAAGGCCGCGCTTGGGCCGTTGGGAGGTACATGAGGTGACCTACTCAGAATCATATTGAATTATTGACGTATGAAAAAAACATCATAGCCACAAACTTCATAACTTCATGAAATGGTACTAAGAATTTCGACACGACCTTTGGCCACAATATTTATATATATATACATATATATATAGCCATGTTCTCAATGCTACTCCTCCATTTGTCACCGCGTTCAGTCACCTCGCAGGCGTATGTGACCATCTTCTCCAACCACCTGGGGTCAAAGGCAGAATTGTTAATGAATTCATTGGGATTCAACCATTAACAGGAATTTCATGGGAAATTGTCCGATAAAAAAAGTTGGATTTAACCATGATGTTTCACAATCCTCAATACGAATTCACTGTTTTTTTGATAGTAGAGACATCTTATTCGATATAAAAAAAAGGATATATCGATGGAATATAGTAAGGGATATGATTGCCTTTTTCATGTGATTTTTCCATGGAATCTATGGGGATTCCAAAAAGAAATTACCGACGAGGCTGGGAAACCACCAACGAAACTCGTGGCTGGAGGTCATGGGAAATTCATCGAAGATGTTTTCAGATGTTCCAGCCATGGAGCTGATTAGCCATTTAATAGTGGTTTAATGGGATCTAATGGTGATTAATGGAGTTTTAACCTCTGGTAAACTGTTAACAAACAACAATGGGAAGATCCACCATGCTATTAATGGGTAAATCAACTATCTCTATGGGAAATACCAACAAAAAACAAGAGGATGAACAAGAACGAAACAATGAAACACCATGAAAAACATGACGAGCAAACAACTCTTTGTATTTAGATATATCTGGGAAACATATAATATTTCACTAACCTGAATAAAGGCCATTTGGGGATGATTACTCTTATTAACCATGATTCCAGTGAGGTCGCAGTGAGGTCGCAGTGAGGTCGCAGTGAGGTCGTTATAATTTATCTAGATATATGATATATTTAGCATTTGGTGCCAGATATCTTTAGTGGAGTGAGTTGAAACATGGCCTTTGGGTGGCATCTCACGAGTGCGTACAATGTAGGAAGTGCGACCCTCAATAGATAGGAAGTCTTCGAAAATACTGCAGGGTATAGTAGGTTCTTGTAGGATTACTTATATATTCACATAGAGTAGTGTGAATAGTTGGGTTGTTTGAGTGGGATGTGATTTTTGTTTTTGTTTTTTGGTGCCACTATGTTTAATTAATAATGGTTGCTGATTTCAGCCGCCTCTGTGAATTGTGCTAATCATCCCAAATGAGGACAACACATATATATATATACACACATACTTGAACCCACCAACCATGCAAATTGTCAATCTTTCTTACACCAAAAATAAGCCCCGCTTATTATAGGGGAGTCTGGGAGTATGGTTTTTCTTATGCGCCTAAATGATTATCGATCTAAGAGGAAAACGTGATCCGCTCCGCACCTTCGCCACCTCATTGGGCCGCCGCCGCCGCACCGGCGAGATCTCACAGTTCAGACCACGGCCTCAAACGAAGAAACTGCCGTTTTTTACCAATCTAATCAATAATCTATTTATAGATGGTTTACCTATTAAAAATGGTGATTTTCCATGGCTATGTTAAATAACTAGAGGGTAAATTTAATCAAACGTGTTTACCAAGAGAAAACTGTGGATTCACCATCTGCCCACATAAAAAAAAGACCCTGAGAATCGCTCAAGAAACACAGGAAAGTATCTTCCAGCCCCCAAGTCATGACAGCGTATATCTTGTGGAGGAAAGGCAACCCCACAGAAACAGGGATTGATCCACACATATATATATATATGTATATATACAAATGAATGTTTTTTGGGAAGTCAGCGTGATTTGCAACAACAAAGTATCACTATGGAGTCAAGAAAACAACGGAGATTTGGGACTCAACAAAAAATGATGACTTCTATCAACATAAAACATGTGCTTCATCTGAATACAATGATTTTTTCACCTCCTTTAGGAACAAAAATCAGGGTTTCAGCAGGAATCAAAGTGAATTTCAACCCAAAAAAGGACGCCTAAAAATTCAGCATCCATCTTCGGCCTTCTAAACCAGTGTTTTGGTCGGTGCTTATCCCCATACCTAAATCATCTTATGTAAAGCATCCGGAAAAAAACAAAGTAGATTTAAAACAAACAGAATCTTCGACTGGAATCTAGCAGATATCTGAAATGTTGTTGAACCGTTTCTATGATTTCCACAATTTGAACTATTGGAATCCACCGGTCGTTTTGCTTGGGCTGCCAGTCGCAGGTGTACGCTCCGGACGCGCAGCTCGTTTTGCCTGGGCTTTTTTTCGGGGAAATCCTGGGACTGGGACCTACAAATTGGAGTGTAAAATCTCCTGAGCCATGGCCCCCTCAGTTCGCAAAGTGTAACATATGATGTAGCTGTAATATTGTAGCTGTAATCCCAATAAAAAACCACTATGGATGTAGTGAAATCTAGATGTTGCAAGGTATCCCAATCTGGATGTAGCTGTAATACCATGGGGAAGCTCAGAAAGACTTGAATGGGACCTTGGACGGTTGGGTGGTAAACATGCTGAAGGGAACATAGCGGGACTATGGCAAGTCACTCGGGCATCTCAGCCATGGGATAGGGAACATGTACCTAACATATGGATGGTCTATGGAAGGCCAATGTGAGGGAAATCTTATGAACATATACTGTACATATGTATATATATATGATAAGTGGTATCTATGAAACACTGTAAATAATGGGATAATATGGGATAATGATAAATGATATTAATAAATATATTATAATTATTATATAAGTATAATTGATAAACCATCTACCGACTGGTGCAGGATTTCTTCCATCCACAGTATGACCTAAAATATCAAACATGTTTCCTCAAGTAAGGAGATACACATTGGCCATTGATGAATCCTTAGGGCAGCTGATGGGTACCTGAAGTACGATCCGTGGTCAGCTTTGGGTGTAGTGATCGTTGCGGAGTTTCATGTTGCGCCAACAACAAGGGAGGGAAATAACAACAGTGAATATCCTATAGAAAAGCCATTGACAAGGGATGGACGCAAACAAAATGATAGTTTTACATTTGAAATTACCAGACAAGATCAATCATTTTGGGCTATAGCCATCAGCCAACTGTCCCATTCTTGAACCCAAAGGTCACCACTTCCAGTACAAGCGAGATATATGGAGGTTTCCTGAAATAGGGGTACCCTAAAATAGATGGTTTATAATGGGAAAACCCTATCAAAATCGATGATGTGGGGTGCCCCCATTTTAGGAAACCTTCACACGTGGCAAATCCGTGGCGCAGCGTGCCTGGCTGGAGTGGTCTCTATTCGCGCCGCCTGTCAACGGCCATGTTGAGGTGCTTGAACCGAGTTTACCCTTTGGACATTTAATGTAGCTATTGAAAATAGCAATTTATATACTGGTTGGTGTTTTTGTAACCATCTTGAAAAATGATGGAGTTCGTCAATGGGAAGGATTATCTTATATATTATGGGAAAAATGCTTGAAACCACCAACCAGTATAGTTGATTTATATACCTGCAAAACATTGAGATTTTCCATAGTATAGCTATCTTAGTTTACCACCAGAGAGTAAGGACCAAAGATGACAACAGTAAAATTCAAACCATCAGGAAATTGCTTCACTGGCATTGATTTCAATTTCAGGTGGTTACTTTACAAGCAAAACATCGAGATAAACAATGGGATCTTTCACCAGCCAACTTTGGAAAATAGGAGTTCAACCGTTCAATCAGAAAAAAACAACCGAGCCACCATGAGCCACATCCTATCCTAGTCCTAATCCTATGCATCCGTTACTAACGTCAATCCCGGGGTATTGGGATTTCTACATACCAGCTATATATGGTGATGACTGGAGGATGGTAAACATGACATTGGGAATTACCCACATGAATATGTAATGAAATGTAATGAAATGCACCTAAATTGGGGATGATTTGTTGTTGGGCTTGGACCTCATTGCCCACAGGGATTTTGGCAGCAAATTGTCGTTGAAGCAACAGAAATGGCGGATTGCACCCCCTGGATACCCTGGAAACTGTTGCGACGTTTAGCTGGGCGATGCACGCATATCTATCTGCAATGGATGTATGTGTATAGCCTCAGTTAAAGCTAAGCCCATTGTGAGGGGCTCCATCAACAAGATTCCGAGTCCAAGTATCTCCCAGGCCATAACTAGTAGGCCCTATGACTAGGCAAACTTAAACATGTCTCGAACCTGGCAAACAAAAAAAACAAGAAAAGAAGTGTTGGGGCATCATTTCCTCTACTAACCAGCATTTATGGTCAGGTGGTCCATGAGGTGGTTTGTGTTTGGGATGCACAAAGTGTCCCTTCCATGAACCTGGATGTGTCTTTTGATGATTGGCCATGTTGGTTGTGTCGCAAGTATAAAGCTACTAACGTATGAAACTTGTAGGTTGAATCCGATTCATAGCATGTTATTCTCCATATATTTCCTATATTGTTCCCTATATATTCAACAATATATCTCTAATCATATCGACTACACCCGGCACCTGGTTTGGAGCCATCCGCCTGACACAGCCGGGGTACCTGTACCTGAAACATCTTTGGAAAACACACACACACACATTTGATGAGAAAAAGTCCGTTTCCAAAATTGGCATGGACTCGATTGGACATTTTCTTTGGTAGGCTCAGTATGATGAATTCGCTAGCTGAATATATCTACCCAACGGGGTATATAATTGTGGAGGGGCCGTGTGGGGACACCCTGTTGCTGCGTGGACCACCCCTGGCTGTTTCACCATTTTGGGGTGTTCTCCTGTAGTGGAGACAATTCCGTGGACATCTTGCACTGATCAGATGATTGGGTGATAACCAGATCAAGAGAAGGCTTGTGCCATTTCCGTGTTATGATTCTTATGTATTTTGTAATACACAAAAAAGTACACGTACCGTACATGATCGTACATGATATACAGTACTGGTTGGTGGCTTCAACCCCTCTGAACAATATGAAAGTCAGTTGGGGTTATGATTCCCAATATATGGAAAAATAAAACATGTTCCAAACCACCAACCAGAGTAATCTACCCCATAAAGATAGAACAATGAATCCTACCGAATGGGACACCTTTATCTATCGCGGCTATCTATCACTAATCTATTCAAACATTCACCATTTACAATCTAGCACCCCCCCCACCAGAAAAAGAAACTTGTTTCCAGGATGTTGGTACATGATATTCATATTTCCAGATGTTCCGCATTTTCCCGCTCTTCTATCTATTTTAAGAGGTTGCCGCATTTCACTTCCTGCAGCCCCGTTTTACTTCACTGCATCGCTAGGTGAGCGCTGAAGCCCATGGATCACCCGCATCCGATGTCGCATTTCAGCTGACAAGCCGCATAGGACCCAATGGCATAGCAGGTGACCAGTGCCGCGATCAGCAACTTGAACAAAGCTGGTGATGGCTGGTCTAGGAACGAAATGGTGATGAGAAGCAATGAAAATTGACTTTGAACAACAAGAAATGAGGTGTTGAATCTAGGCTTTCAGCAACAAACGTGATGATATGATGATACAATCAGAAAGACTAAGGTAGCTTCATGAACCTCTGGAGAGACTCCACCAATGAGTGCTAGCGAATGGATTTTCCCGATGCTTTTCTTCACCAATGCTGGAGACCTCGGAAATATGACAAGTGTATGGCTCAACACCACCCAGATATACTCAGATTATAAGGGTTTACAAAAAAAAAAACAATTGGGTACTCCCAACTCCAATGGTAAAACGGAATATGATCATGATCTGAGATTATCTTGCTTGAAAATGGTCATTCGGAGCAGCTATTGACAACCAATTGCCAGTGTTTTTCGATGTTTTTCGTCAACGGACACCTGCAGAAGTTTACGCGTAAAGACCATGACCTTCTGCATGGTCAAATTTGTGGACCTCCGATTCCCATCCAGTTCCGGCTCCATGTTTTTTTGGGAAGGGGAAATTTCAGGAATGCTGCAAAGGGGGAACTCAGTTTTCTATTCGGAGTTTTACTGCGTAACTTGAAACAACTTATACTGATGGATTCACAGTTTCATGAACCAATCTAAACCAGCCCCAAGTATCAGCCCTTGGGGCTGATCTAATACTTGGGGGAGTATGGTAAATCATCCTATTTGCAGGGGCTATACACAATTTAATGAAGGGCATGTTGGGATATGTCATTGCTATGGATCCTATATTAGCCATCATCTGGCAGTGATCCATCACCATTCATCACTGGGATGAAACCTGTATTGAACGGTTGAACTCACCACCCAGACTAGGGAGAACTATGCCTGACTATTTTGCAACCCTCGTGTACACTTTGTGACCACATCAATCTGGTTACGTAACTACAGCCCATCCCCAAGAAAAATCATGAATGAGGGTCATCATCAAAGGAATGAAAAATAAACCACCAACCAGTTCAATTCAAAACAATGCGAATAGAGACAATAAGGGATATCACATGATATCACTCATTTTCGCTGAAGAACATCTTCCAGGGGGTGGGCAACTGCGGCAACTCCACTTCCAGGAATGTTTCAGGCTAAAACATGCTAAAACCCCAATGTGCTAAGCCCAATCCATACATCGAATCAACCATCCCAGTCCCAATGTAGACCATTTGTATCCATTTGTTCATAGACCCAAGTGATGGTGCTCTGTTTACCTCCACTGTGTAGAGCAACTTCTTCAAGGCGCGGTGACTTTGAGAATTCGGGTACCACCACTCTGCCCCGAGCATGGGGAGACTTCCACCTCAAACTGTACACAATGAGCCCAACGTAGCGCTGCAAGCCGCGAGCCGAACTCTGGCGAGGGCCCGGTTTGGTGATTTCCGTGGGACGTGGACCTTTGGTGTGATAATGTCATGCAACGTTGTCTGATATTCAAATTTTTAGTGTGATAATGACTTTTAGTGTGCAACTTGGATCTTGAGTACGTCGATCTTGTCTATATACCACTTATACAACCAAAAAACATGGCTCATAGAAGTCTATGGCCAAATACGAGCCAAAGTTATAATACAGTTTGACACCGAACTTTCATGTATTGTATGCATGCAAATCCCCATTGTTCTTGCTCGGATCACCATAAATTCATGTTGGATATTCCATCAATGATTCCCGTAGTACTGGAAGTTACTGGAAGTACCAACCATCAAACTTCCAGTGATTGAACAACCATCAAACCATCAAACCATCAAACCATCAAACCATCAAAGCATCCTGGATTCAGGCCCTAAACAAATGCTTCAGACCTTGACCACGGAGATTTCATGGTGATTGGACCCCCTGGTTGAACCTCCAATGTTTACAGATTCTCGTTGGGGAATATCATCACAAGTAGGAACCACTGAATTACTTCCCTCATTTCAATTCGATCCCTATCTTTACTGGTGATATCCCCATGTTTCTTGTGAGGCTTGAAAAGCGCCCGAGTTGCAACTTCGTCCCTTAAAACTAATATTGAATCTCCCATACTGTACATAGGACTGCCAAAAGACATAGATGCAATGTAAGCATGCATGTCACCTAAATAAAAAAAAATAACCATAATATGTATATATATATATATATTTAATTACACTTATATGTATATAATCATATATATATATATAATTATGTATGTATATATATATATATATTCTATATAATTATACATATATAATTAGATAATCTATACACTTATATTTAGACATTAATAATTATATAATTGAAACTGAAATGGAAGAGTTGAAGCTCCCTATATAGTTGAAACAAACACACTCTCCCATCGATTCATCCATCTACAAATCGGCCCCATGATGAGCAACCATATGCTAGCTGGGATGCACATCCAGTCGTCCGTTTTACCTTTAAGGATTCGTTGTTTTGGGTGGGTCGTGGATGGTCGGTTTACCCTGAATGTTCATACCTGCGAATGGTGGTGACCCCGCTAGGGCAAACATGATGAAGCAATTGGATGAAGCAGTAGATTCTGATGTCCAGAGCACCCTATCTGCTCTTGACTCTCTTTGTGATGCTCCTGTTCCCCTTCCAAATTCACGGTACCTTCATGGTTTTGGAACAGTTTCTTCATGATTTCTCCACATATTGTGGAGCAGTTTTTCGAAGTGATCTGTCCGAAGTGATTCAGACACCGGGTCGGGCAATCACTGTGGGCTATCAGGCAAAATTGAAGTTCCCAAAACTATTTACCAGTACGACCAGTCACAGTCATCATCCAATTTATTTTCCCTCCCATGCATATATAATTCCTGAAATTTAGGACCCAACAAGTCACCGAGTCTTTTTGAAAGTAGGGAAACTAATGGAAGCAGCGTAGGAAAGCATGGTTTTCAACGGTTTTCACGGGCCCAGCGTTTGAGTTTTCGGCCAGCTCTTGCTAAGGTGACCGAGCTGTGCTGGGGTTTCCATCAATCCTGGAAATCGTCCTGCACTGGTCATGATGGGATTTTGATGGGCTTTTCTGTTATGTTTTGATGGAGATTGACCCTTAAGAAAAATAGGTGATTGCACCAAGTTGGAACACAAAGATGTTAATGGGGTGAGAATACACATTGCCCTACACCTCTACCTCTTCTGACTGGAATAATCTGGGAAGAGTTGACCCAAATGATGTCACCCCGATGCTGGGACTGATTGTCCTGGTCCCCAATCAACAATTTGAATCGAATTTCCCCATTGATCCCCTTGTCATTCTCGTTGCTTTGATGAAAAATCAAAAACCGGACATTGATCGGAAAGGCATGGAAAAGGTATGGTTTCATGTTGTTTTTCTGTTTTAAATCTCGAACATCCCAATATCCAATGAATAGTATTGACTTACAACAGGCTAGGTCTTCAAGAGGCAACATATTTCTCATCATGTGCGTTTGGCAGCTCAAACCTCTTTTCAGGAACCCCCTCATTGCTGTCGTCCGTTCTCTAGGCCAACAGCCATGCTGGTCTCGTCTGTGGTTACCCTCCAAAAATATTGTCAACACTGGGGATATTGTCAACACTGGGGGGTTATTCAAGTTGGCTTTGATCCAAAATTAATCCATAAATTGGATTTTAAAAACGAAACATGGGTGTGCACATGCTTATGGATGTAGATCTCAAGGACGTGTGACAGGCTTAAAGAAAATGGTGAGCAAGCACTGTTTTGTATTAAAATATTACCCCAGGAATCGAGCACTTACCAACAAGTTTGATTGTTTTTGCGCGCTGCTCCGATGCCAAGAGTCACTTCTTTCCGTTGCACGTTTGGATGTGCAGTGCTGTGCCAATGTGATGTGGTGTCATTTCATATGATGTGATACAATGCAGGGCTGTGCCATCTAATTAATGCAAATGTAAGTACCTGCCTGTCTTATCTACGAATTTCTACGATTCAACTTCCAAACGCAAAGGAAATCTGAAATTGGGCATTGGGTCTGAGCGAATCCAGAAAAGGAAACACCAGCGACTTCTTCAGCATGTATCATACCATCATGTGTTTTGAAATTGTGATTGTAACTCCTCAGACATGCAAAATAGGGAATATTGATTAATATTGGACAGACACATAGCTCACAACTGCCCCTTCCTAACCACCGGATAGTGAAACAATGCAATACATAGATTTCAGCACAGCAAAATCGCATCATGATGAATGCATCTGGTTTTAACATGTTTTAAAGGCCTTCCCCTCTTTGGTCATGTGAGTCATGCCTTTGATCATGTGGGTTGGAAAATTGGGGAAAGCTCACCAGGGATCCCCCCCGCCGTTCGAAAAAAGCTTGGACAAGCCTGAAACTTTCTGGAAATCAGTGCAAAAGAATATCAAAAGAATCCTTTGAGTCAACTTCAACCTGAAGCAACAAATCTGAAGGGTCTTCCACTTGAGCCTTTAGCGGCACGGCTGATTTCTGTATCAATGCAATTCTACTCGATTGCCCTGTGCGGTTGCTGCGCAGCGGGCGGGCGAAAAGACCGCCCGGTTTGGTGAATACCGGAGCCCATGCACAGGAATCACCACAAAAAATGGCAGTTGCCATAGCTAGCACTGCAGGATGATGCCTGTGGTCACTGTGAACCAAGTCGAAACCGGAAAGAAATCTACTACCTTAAGTCTTCAAATTTGTGGTCCCCAATATATCCCAATCGTCAAGAAAACTGGCCTTGTACTGAATTGTGGTATATTCATGTATATTCTGGTTATCAATTCCCCACTGTACACATCACTTTGTACCCAATCACTATTTAAACATCATTTCAAGTAGTGTTTCACATCTAAAATGTGAAAATCTCTGAAGACCCTAGCTTCGAGCTCAAAACAATATCTCAGCCAACTACCTCATTGATACCATGGTTGTTGCTTGTGTTCGCTGTATTGCTGTTCATTCTGTGCCCTCCCCAACAGTGATATCATGAAACCTACAGTAACTGTTCACGCACACATGCCAAAGTAGATAAAATGATTCTGAACACGTGTTACATGATTTCATTTGCTGTAAATTTCTACGTGGGCCGTGTTCATGTCTGCTGTTTTTGTTGGTTGTATAGAGCCCATATACATCCATACCCTACACAAAGGTTTCGCTTCCCCAGTGAGGTCGCGCCACTATGAATGAATGGTTGGTGCACCTTGGTGGTTCTACGTTTTCCTGAAAAAAATAAGACAGGGATCATCATCCCTACGCTGGAAAGGGCACATCTTCGAAACCACATAACTGGTTGGTGGTTGAGCCTACTCCTCTGAAAAATATGAGTTCGTCAGTTGGGATGGTTATTCCCCATACATTATGGTAAAATAAACAATGTTCCAAACCACCAACCAGCACATAATTTATGTCCCAGCTGCATGGCCCCAGGTAGATGAGCGTTGTCAAGAGGACGGATCCACAAAATGGAAGTCGAACGCAGGACTCAAACATCTGACGAGAGTCCTGCCTTGGGAAAACCATGGAAAACCACTTTCATGGTGCTTCCAGCTAACACCCAACTTGATCTACGTTCAAAGCCCTTTGTCAATCTGCTGATTGTTCCAATCCAAGGATTCACGTTTTGCTGGTCCATCAATGTCCATCATCTTCAAAGTGACCCCACCAACCAAAATTGGCAACAGAGTAGCCTGGTTGTTCTGTCGTGTCATCCCACAGATCACATCAGTGAATCAGATTCGCAACGCGGCCCAATCAGCTCCTGCCACCAACTGGTGCCAACTCAGAGGGAGAAAGAAACTGACTAATGTGGCAGACCCCTAGATTGCTCATTCTTGGGTTTACCACATGAAAATGGACGTTTAAACCAGCACAGTGACTCCACTGATGCAAAGATATGTGTTGTACCAACAAATTGAATTTCATGACGTTCCGAACATGATGATCTACCATTGCCGAAACAAAATCAATATTTCATTCATAGTGCAGTTGCCAAAGAGACATTTTCAAAGTTTGGAGCACCTTCTCTCATGAACATGTTTCCTATTGTTTTTTATTTAAGGGTTGCATTGGGGTTATTTCGAGGTCATGTCTATGTCGATCTTTTATTGGCCGAATTGTTTCAAATACATACGGAATTCAAACGAACAATTGCTGGGCTAAACAATAAACTTAAATAAATGTTTGTCGCGATCTGGTGCCTTAAGATTCCCGACCATATGGGGTAAGTTCAAATTCCCCGATTTTTCTAGAGTAAAACCAACTTACTCCACATTTATCCTTAACGGACTCTACCTGCAATTGTAAATAAACCAATCCAAAATTCCAAATCGTGCCATTCGACCATTCCACCGACTATTTGGAGCTTTTTGTTGGAGACATGTCCGCGAGGCCACGTGACATTTGACGGATAAGTTACGGATAAGTTGCAGGAAGTGATTGGTGAACCTATATTCAGTGCAAGTTTAAGGAATGGGATAAACATGGAATGGCAGGTTTAAGGGCAAAAAATGAAGCGGATACTCCGCGGTTTATCCTCATGGGTCACCCTTTGGTAAACATGGATTACCATAAAATCCCCATGTTCAATGAGAAACTCCTCTACATTTTCTACTTTGGTTTCCACTGCAAAGGGATAAACCAACAAAAATGTGTTTCCTAAACTCCCGACACCCAAAAAACAGAGAGAAACAAAGGGGCCGGATGTGAAACATTCACGCAGACAGTGGATGACGTCAATGTCGAGCCAGCCACAAGAGGCTTCGTCAAATTAGATGGGGTACCCCTTCTATCAATATATGGTAAACGGGTGTTCATCCCCATACAAATATTATCTCTAGATATGGATCCACACAGCCACATACACACATACAAAACATAACATAACTTAACATAACATAACATATCCTTACATTACATTGCATTACATTGTATTAAATACATACCATACCATACCATACCATACCATACCATACATTATTTTGTATCCTGAGTAGTTCGCTATTGTGGCCAAATTTTTCCAAATTGTTCTGAACCCCTGCAATGTTCGGAAGGTTCCCTATTGTGGTAAAAAAAAATGGCAAACCATTTTTTTCGTCCAACAAATGTTTGCGTAAAACAAAATCTGAAACTTAATTTTGCAAAAACCTTCGTTGTCTCCCTGGCCTGAAAGAATCCGACCGCTTATTAAACCGTCGTTAAACAACAACTTTTCCACACATTTCCAAGGCACCGGGCCATGAGAGGTCCCAGTTCACTTTAGTAGTTTTGTTCTCAGGGTTCACAATTGCAGCAAACTTTTCAGAGGTGATTGTGGGGCCAAGAGAAAAACAAAAACACATTTTTTACAAAAACAATTGAAAAGTTCAAAGCCCAAGCCTTTCCGAAAAGAATCCGGCCGCTTAGTAAACCGTTATTAAATACCAGTTTTTCAACAAGGTCTTGTAGCGATGCCTGACCAGCATGGCAAAATAACCTAAAGAGAAATTTGCGCTTACCTTGCGCTAGAGACTTGCGTTCAAAGCAAGCCTTCGGGACAGGACTGGCTCGTTTTCGATGCGGGGAGACCGTTTGAAAATCAAATTTATATGCGGGTTACATTCTCCTTCTACCATATTTTTTGTAATTTTATTCCGCGCGGCCCCGCTTTTGATGAAGGACGCCGTTCGGCATGTAATTCATTCATGTGATTTAATTGTTTAATTACATTCATACATACATACATACCATACCATACCATAACATAACATGACATAACTTAACTTAACATAACATAACATAACATTAATACATATACATACATACATACATACATACATACATACATACATACATTACATTACATTACATTACATTACATTACATTACATTACATTACATTACATTACATTACATTACATTACATTACATTACATACATTACATTACATACATTACATTACATACATTACATTACATACATTGCATTACATACATTGCATTACATACATTGCATTACATACATTGCATTACATACATTGCATTACATACATTGCATTACATACATTGCATTACATACATTACATTACATACATTGCATTACATACATTGCATTACATACATTCCATTACATACATTCCATTACATACATACCATTACATACATACCATTACATACATACCATTACATACATACCATTACATACATACCATTACATACATACCATTACATACATACCATTACATACATACCATTACATACATACCATTACATACATACCATTACATACATACAATTACATACATACAATTACATACATACAATTACATACATACAATTACATACAATTACATACAATTACATACAATTACATACAATTACATACAATTACATACAATTACATACAATTACATACAATTACATACAATTACATGCAATTACATGCAATTACATACAATTACATACATACATCCATGACATACATACCTTAACATACATACATTACATACATACATACATACATACATTACATTACATACATTACATTACATTACATTACATTACATTACAATACATACATTACCTACAGACATACATACATACATACATACATACATACATCCATCATACATTACATTACATAGCATACATACATTACATTACATTACATACATTACATTAACTTTACATTACATACATTACAATACAACTACATACATACATACTTACCATACACTAACAAGACATGACATTACCTACATACATACATACATACATACATACATACATTACATACATTACATACATACATACATACACATACATATATACATTACATACATACATTACATACATACATTACATACATACATTACATACATACATTACATACATTACATACATACATTACATACATACATACATACATACATACATACATACATTACATACATACATACATACATACATACATAACATTACTTAACATTACACGGCATTACACGGCATTACACTACATTACACTACATTACACTACTTAACACGTTATACTTATCATTACTTAACATTACTTAACATTACTTAACATTACATTACATAACATTACTTAACACTGCTTAACATTACATTACGTTACAATACATACACACATACTTTACATACTATAAATACGCTACATACTCTACATATTATACATAAGGTACATACTAGACATTCATTACATACATTACATTACATTATATACATTACATTACATTACATTACATTTCATTTCATTACGTTACAGTACAATACAATACGATACGATACGATACAATACAATACAATACATACGTACATACATACATTACATACATATGTACATACATTACATTACATTGCATTACATTACAATACAATACAAATTAATACAATACATACATACATACGTTACATACCATTACATACCATTACATACCATTACATACCATTACATACCATTACATACCATTACATACCATTACATATCATTACATATCATTGCATACCATTACATACCATTACATACCGTTAAATACCATTACGTACCATTACATACCATTACATACCATTATATACCATTACATTACATACTTACATACATACATCGATACGTACATACATGCATGCATGCATGCATCCATCCATACATACATACATAGATACATTACATTACATTACATTCCATCACATTACATTACATTCCATTACATTACATTACATATGTTACATACACATATATCATATATGTATACATAGGATACATATACATATAATTATCATCTCATAAAGGGATGGAAGTGATATATTAGATTATATAACACAGAAACAATATTTTTTTCAAAGGATTTGTCCAGTTGTATGGGGCTCACCGTGCTCATCCATTGATCAAGATTTGTTATGTCCTAAGGATTTCAAATGATGATAACCATACAACATCCAAACAAACTCACATAAATACGTATTACATGGGTGTGTCATCATTTCCCATCATCTTCCCTATGAAATTAATGACTTAAAAATCATCACTTGCCCACATTTTCCCTATGATTTCAGAGGGAAAATCAAGGCGGTTTACCATCAGGTTCCCATCGCTCAGCAGCCAACCTTACGCACCTTTGGAGCGATTTTCCATATCGCTCAGCACACGAAGCACCTGAAATGCTAGGGCCAAGTATCAAGGTGCGTGTGAATATGTGTGTAGGTAAATGTAGACGTATGTATATGTATATTAATGCTCATATATTTACACACATAGTTCATGTTGTTTAAATAGGTTTGTGTACGTATGCAAACTTATGTGGTTCGCATCTATTCCTATGTCGGTGCCCCCTGCGCAACTATCCAGGTAAAGCATCTGCCTACATACCGTCAGCGAAAAAACAACGCAAGGACAGCAACATGTTGGGTCGATGCCAGAATTGGCCGAGATCCACATTCCACTTTTCTGACAAGACGTTTATCTTTGTACAACGAAGGGGTTAATTTAGAAACACTCGTTTAATATGCCATATGCTTAATCACCTATACTGTAGATATAGGCAACACAACCGGGTTTTCAGGAGTGACAGTAGGGTAAAATTGGGAGGAAGGCTAGTGGATTTCATTGATGTAGCCACTCAAACTTGGGACTGAACAAGGTGGTCCCTTGACCCCCACTTGGATACTTTATAGTGAGTAAATGGTTTTCACGCCGCATGCCGCTTTGTCAACATCTCTTTTCCCAATCTACGTGCCACTCCATGTACATTATATTATAGTATATTATAGATATGCATGTATAGACCATTAATGACCGATATTAATGACTATTAATAAGCATTAGATGTATATATCTTGAAAATAATATCGATATAAATGATATAAACATCCCAGGGTTTTGAAGTTTCCATGGTGATGAAAACCATTCATGCTGCACATCCTTCTGATCTGGGTTTTGCACCGCAGGGTTGGCATATTTTCCATTTTTTGCCAGCTGCATAGCTGTCTTGCCACTGCTCAGAAGTCCCGACTCCTGCCGTTGGATCATCCATTGGTTATGACTCAGTTTTGATCTTTTACATGGTTTTAGCTGGCCACCTTGTTCATTCTTGTTACCCTATGTATGCCATTTGATAACATGTTTGTCCTAGACAACTTCAAGAAACATGTTTTCTCACAACTCGCTGATGGAGGAACGCGGAAACTCTCCCCATTCTGGACATCCAAAAAATGGTTGGTTGGTAAATTATATCATTATACATCCGCTTTATATCCGCTTTATATCCCATGTGTATCCATTTATATCCCACTTAGATCCCACTTGCATACCATATGTATACTGTAATATAATTATCATCCATTTCTGGCAAAGAACACTGGTATATTTTTACATTCGACCAGACAACGCATCCGTTTCTTTTCCCGTGATTTCCGTGCCTCTAAGATCCGCAAACGTCACCGGTGTAGGCCCCAGAAAACACATTTACAATGTGGTGCCGTGGTGCCCCCTCAGTTATATGCTGGATTCTGCTGGTTTATTTATAACCCCATTAACATCAATTTGACTATAGATATATATATATATAGAGATAGATAGATAGATAGACAGACAGACAGACAGATAGATAGATAGATAGACAGACAGATAGATAGATAGATAGACAGACAGATAGATAGATAGATAGACAGACAGACAGATAGATAGATAGACAGACAGATAGATAGATAGATAGACAGACAGATAGATAGACAGACAGATAGATAGATAGACAGACAGATAGATAGATAGATAGATAGACAGACAGACAGATAGATAGATAGATAGATATATCATATCTACCAAAAATCCAAATTATTGGAGTTATAAAACCACCTTAGCTAAGAGTTACACTCCGAATTATGCATTGGATATCCCCACCAATACATGGGATGAAATATGGTTGTCGGAAAAATACAAAAAGGCAAGAGACCCCAAACAGTGTGGGGGGCAGGAAGTCAAAGTACCAAATACAGGCAACAGTAGCCACGGAACAGTAACAGATCAGGTTCGACATTATCGCAGCTGTAGCGGCGGGAACTTGTTTTGGCACAAGAAGCAACGCTATGTCTACTCATCAGGATCTCATACCAGAACCTCATACCAGGACATCTAACAGAATTCAAAAGATCGTTAAAGAAGGACCTTCTATATAGAGGATCTCACAAGATCTGCAGACAAGAATTTCCTATGAGCATCCCAGAAGAACTTGCAGACAAGCACCAGCGCAGCGCATCTTCAAGATCTTAGTGCAAGGACCTCTTGAGGAGGGTTTCAACAAGATCTCCTCTTTTTCTTTTCTCACAAGGACCTGTGCAAGATCATGCAAGGACCTCTGAGAGGATTGCACCAGGATCTCTACACGATCTTCTCACAAGGACTTGCAGAAGACCTTGACCAAGATCTTCCTGCCAGGACCCCTACAAAGAAGCTCCCAAGAGCATCCCGGAAGAGCTTTCATACAAGCAACTCTCTGCAAGATCCTCATGCAAGGACTTCCGAGAGAGGATCTTATCAGGATCTGTACAAGGTCTTCTGAAAAGGACCTGTACAAGATCATGCAAGGATCTGTTAGAGAGGACTTCACCAGGACTCCACAAAATCTTCTGATAAGGACCCCTGCAAGATCATGCAATGACCTCTTGGAGGATGTCAGCAGGATCTTCACAAGATCTCCTCATAAGGACCCTTACACGATCATGCAAGGACATCAGGATCTTCACAACATCTTCTCACAAGGACATCTACGACCTTTGGTCAAGATCTTCATCCACTGCGGACCTCTAAGACTGCAAGGTGAAACTCTTGCAAGATCTTCATAGAAAGATCTTCCAGAGAACTCATAAGATCTTTTACCAGGATCTGAGAGAATCAGCACACATCAGCACCGCGCCACAATGAGAGCGATCCAGCCAGCTTAAAGTTCCGAGATGGTTGCGTGAGCGATATCACAATTCGCACCGCGCCACAGCGAGAGTGATCTGACACACGCACAAAGTTACGAAACGGTTGCGGGTTTCGGCCACATTTTTTGTCGAAGTCTACAAAGTACTGCGTCAGTGTGGACACACTGTTTGGGGGAAAACATACCCCAGGTTCACCAGATTTTATAGTGATAATCTGATATGTGATGATGGTTGTCAAGAAACAAACAATCACGTTCATAGTCAATACTATGTTGCTTTATCTATGTTAATATGTGATAATAATTGAATTGATCATATCTAATGATAATCATATCATATCATATCTAACAAACAACACCATGAGATGCCATGATGTTCATGCTGTAGTTACTCTAGTTATATCCCAACTATCGTTGCTTAAACATGTTTATACCATGTTAAACCACCGGTTTTCTTCAGCTGACCAACTGGGCCTTCTGCTCTTTCAGAGCTCCATCCAAGAGAAGAAGTTCCACCATCCTGGAGCTCCAGTTTGCACACTTGGAATATCAATGTTACATTGTAATCATAAAAATGTACCTGGACCTAGTGTATGTTCTATATATATATATATACATCATTCTTGATATGTATATACATATATATATATTTTTTTAAAAAAAAAAAACAAGAACCGTTATAGCAAACATATGATCTTTATCATTATTATCACTATTATAGCACTCCAGGAAAAACAAGTACAAACTAGTAAAATCCCACCAAGATAGCGATGTTTTTCTCTATTGTTTTTTGGGTTACTATGATGCTATGATGTATGATACTGTAACCATTAAAATCACCATATATGATGGAACTACTTGGAATTACATGGAATCTCATAGGAAAATTAAAAAATGCCTAAACAAGCAAACTTGGAACATAAACACCATAGAAATCCTATAGAAATCAAATCCACGATGATGTTCCTTGTGGCCAATTGGAACACAACTAGTTCTAGCAGCTACACAATGGACATCCCGTGGAAGCCTGAAGAGCCACACCCACAATTTCCACATGATCAAAACTTCAACCTTTAGTGGGATATATGGTGTATACCAATCTAGTCCCAAAAACATTGAACATGTTGGAGTATGGCTACGCTGGGTATTGTGGTACCCCATCTAACCAGTAGTACCATCTAATACCATCTAGCGGTATAGCAATATAACCAAAAAAAAGCCACGCACCCAATTTAAACCATGGGTTTAGGGTCACTGGGTTTACCACATCAATTCCCAAATTTAAAAACCGGGTCAAGGCCTCTGGTGCCATGAGTATTTTAGTTCCGGACCTGGTATGACCTGGTTCATTGGTCGTAAGCCTGGCTAGTAAGTCCCGATTCCTTGCGTTTTCGCATATATATATATATATTAAGAATTAAATATTATATATATATATTATACTATGTTATAGATAGTACATATATATTATAATAAAAATATATCATAGTATATAATATAAAATAAATAATATATAATAAAAAATATTTAATATATATTAAAAATATATAATATATAGTATATATAAATAAATAATATAATATAGAATAAAATATATAATATATAAGATATTATATATTATTAAAAAAAAACATATTATATATTATATATTATATATATAATAATATTTAATATATATCATTTATAAAATATAGTATATAATATAATATATAATAGAAACATATAAACTATATATATAATATAAATATTTAATAAAATATTTAGTATATAATATGATAATATGAAATATAATATATATAATATATATATATAATATAATATCTAATATAATGTAATATAGTTAAATAAAATATAATATAATAACATATCAAATAATATATTCATGTTTCCAGAATGGACGCTATGCAAAGTAAAGTTACATTTTGTTCCATAATTCTCTAACTGGGGTGCCATGTTTCGATGATACTCCAAAAAACAATTGTCTATCATGATTTACCCATTAAACAAAACATTTTGGAGTAGAATAATCCAAAACAATCATTGATTGATCCGCAAAAAAAATGTTTGTTTTTTTTGTGTTTTTTCCCGACAATATTTCAAAACAAATATGAACAAAAAAGTACAATACAGCAACTACATTGTCAATTTTGAATTGGGTTTCTTGAAAATATGTGGATAATCAGTATCGTTAGCATCGTTGCTATCGATTCCAATGATAAAAGTGTTATCATTACTCTGATTACTACCGAGACTACTGTACTGTATTACTTGTTGATACATATATATATATATACATATATACATAGCAAATGAGAGTAACAATATTACAAACCTATCTGTATATTATTGTAGATATTGTATACTACAAAAATATGTGTGATCATGTATATACATGTATAGGAATAAAACTGCAAATACATATACCCTCCGGCAGTCAAACGTGGCAAAGGTCCGGAGATTTTCCATTGCAATGTCTGATCACTCAAGGGTGGTAAACTGTGGTAAACACAATAGTAAACCATCACCAAAATAAACATAAATCAGTGGTATTACCATCCTCAAATGGTAGGTTTATTATTGGCTTGCCCATATTATCCCATATTATATGATTATGAATTATGTATATATATATGGCGATAATATGAGGGTTTCTTAATTAATATGGGGGGATCCCCAAAACCATAGGTTTCAATACTACAGACTATAGACTAAAATGGTCTAATGACTTGGATGATTTGGGGTTACCCCCATGACTTAGGAAACCTCCATATGGTTAAACCATGTCAAACCTTCCTTTCCAGACCCGAAATCCCGCACTCCTCGCGTCACCCAGCTTCACCGCACGGTGCAAGGCGTAGCTCGAGGACAAAAAGGACCTCCCGTTGTCGCTGGTCGTGACTGTTGGGGAAGGCTACTGGTGACTGTTGGGCTGTGAAGCAACGCAAAAACAATGGAAGCGGAAGCAGCAACAAAAACATAATTACAAAAATGACTTTTTGATATTCCAAGTATGACATGCATAAATACACAGATCAAGAAAAAATTGATCTTTAAGCTGCACTATGCAGCACCCCGAAAAAATAGGAGAAACTGCTGAGTATTCACCCGGTTTTATGCGGGTGGATTTTGGCAGCAAAGTAGAATTTCACCAGCCAAAATGGGCACATTTATCCCGTAAAAAATGGGCACATTTTGAGACAATTGGATGACAAAGTGGATATGATGGGTTAGACTTGGAGTTGCACATAAAAACATTGGATATCATTGGATGTAAGATGTAAGTTTGGCAATATACTTTAACCATACCTCCACCTTGCTGATGTTTTCGGAAAGCCTCAAAAACCATGGCTTTTGTGTCAGCAGAACTGGGACCAAAAACCCAATCGAATGCAGGGAGATGATTTCAACATGTTTCAACCAACAAAACAGCCTTAATATAGAATCATTCCGGGCAAGTAATAATTCACTAACCTGAAATGAGCCCATAGTGGAATAATTCCCCATATTAAATGTATATATATATATTTAACTATGATTCCAGTGACGTCACAACGTGAAGTCAGTATATAGTTCAACCAGAATCAGGGGAATGAGGCAGCTATCCCAGTCACCAGCCATAGTTTTGCATCAGCAAGTCAGATTTGACCCGTGTTGAATTGTACCCTGATTGATTGATGATAGCATTGTTTTGGATGTTGGTAACTTGCTAAAGGTTGATTGATTAATGAAAATGATCTGGTTCAGTTGTAACATGTTGTAACAATGACACATCACCAACTTCAAGAACAACCATTCAGGGATGATTCACCGCATACAGTAACTGTATCATTCACCGTGACGACTTTGTTTGGTGAAATCGCGATGTCCCGAAGTGAAGCTTCAAGTTGTGTTGGGTGACGATGGAAAATCTCACTTGGTCTTTTGATGTCTTTTGGATATATGCTTCAAGTTCCAATGCTACTGTTCCTGGTTTATTGTACGATGGTTCAAGTCCCCAAAAAAAATCCGCATGATCTTGATGGTTTTTGCTCATCCTCCTTGGTTCTAGTTCAAAGACCCCAAGAGAAATGGATGTCATATCACCTATGGGCATGTATATTTATTTTAGAAAAATGGAAAAAGTAGGAAATCTCTGGTCCGTGACGTTTTCCATGACATCAGCACGCCTCTTCGCTTCGTTTATGCTTCGAAAGCCGTGCCTTTGGGTGGCCATCGGACGGCCCTCTAGGAATCAAACATGGCTTGCTGGAAATTCCCCCCAATTACAGATGACTTTCATTGATCTTCCCAAATGTTCCCAATTATGTCCAGATATCGTGGATTTCGATTTGCCAGGTCTGATTACCGGGGGAAAATTGGATATGTCCCAGCTTGTTGGTTAAATCCCCATATAGGAATCGAAACACTTACGTTAATTCTATCCCCATTGTACAATATGACATCTGGGTTTGTCTTAAAGGACGGGACACCTGCATGAGCAGATTTCATTCGTTTTTATAGTAATTAATTCCCAAGTCAGAAAGAGATTATCCTTCCCGACAACTAAGGGTGAGGTTGTGTTGAAATCAAGTGCCGCCGAGGGTTTTCACACTATTTTAAGAGGAAGTTCCCCAAACAAAAACTGGGATTGAGTGAGCGAAACAGTGGAACCCACCAAAACAAAGGATTTGGATTTGATAACCAAACACCAGGGATTGAACTGTTCAACCAACACACAATTCGGACTTGACATGATTTGACCATCAGAATGGAAATATGACCAGCAAAAGGGGGAGACAAGCAGCAAGAATGGCTATTTCGAGATGGACTTAAGTGAAGAACATGTCAAAACCATAGTCTTCGACTAAACAATCCAGACATGTTGTGGAAACTCTAGGGGAGATGAATATCATGGTTAAATGTATGTGCCAATCTGCCAATTAAATCGGACCCAGAGCCATCTCCCATAGACCCATGTATGCACGTAATGATGGACCATGTCTGCACAAATGATTTCTTGTCACCACAACTCAGTGTTTGCACATCTGAGTTGATGAGAATTCCCATAGCATCCATAGCCATAGTTTGGAGCCTCAAAATACGGTGGACATCCTGCACCACCAATTTGGGATGGTTGAAACCCTATAAATAATCTTAAATAATGGGATAAGGTTACCTTTTCAACTGGTGCAGGATTTTGCAACCATGTTACAAGGTGAGACTAGGCTCAATGGCCCATGTTTTTTAAACTCTTTAAGCTATGGCCGTGTATAGTAATCCCAAAAATTGACTTGGGGAATACAACATATATCACACATATTTTATATGTATATACTGTACGTATAGTAATTATATCAGAACATATCATATATCTATATATCATTATATATCTATGATATTCTATACCATCTAGTTATTTAACATAGCCATGGAAAATCACCATTTTATAGCTAGGTAAACCATCTATTTCTATGGGCCATCTATACCATGGCGAACTGTTAGTCATAACCAGAGGGTAATGTGTAAATGATCAGAAATCTGCCAGAAGATCCTCCCACGTCCGGCCACGATGCTTTTTGAGGAACGCGGCCACTTCCGCATGTCTCTCCTGCACGATGACGATGATGACGACGATGACGACTCGACTTGACGCTGAGATGATCCAGCTGGAGTTTGAGATGGATTAGGGACAACATTGTGCGAAACAAACAAATGTTCGTAATATCAGATTGTATATTGAATTGAATCACTATATTGATATCATTAAATATCATCTGGATATATATATAATATATCAAGCTGATAGTATCAGCTGATTAACAACTGAAGTGAGAGGATATCACTGGGCCAAGTTTTACTGAACTCGCGTGGCTTTTTTTCAGATACGTGGTCCACTTCCAGGCCAATGAAAGGCATATGAATTCCAGGTCATATGCACAAGCACACACATGGTCACATGAACATATCATAGCTCTGCGTGACATGATACAAAGAGATATTTGCATATTACAGATACACTGATACACTATGATACAGTATCCTTTTTTTTTGCATCCACCGAAAATTTTTGCACGCACACACAGAAATCGTTCCTCCACAGCTTTGTCTGCCTCCTGGAGCGCTGAGAACTATCTTCATCATTGTGGCAAGTGAATTTTGGCATGTTGGAGAATAGCTTGAAGCCCCAGAAAGATACCCTCAAATTTCATGGTTTATCAGTTTACACCCGAAATCCGCTGGTTTTTTTGCTTCAGGAAGCTGGAATGAAGCTGAGTGGCCATTATGTTGTCCCAAAGCCCAAAGTTTCCCCACACGCCGAGATCATCCGCACTGAAATGGTACTATGGATGACCATGGCCCTCCGTATTGAAACCTATGGTATCATCGAAATTTTCGGAGCTAAATCCGGGCTTCACCCAGTGGATATGGGACTACAACTCAACTTCTGTTGAGGATTCCAGTGACACTTGGTGTGCTTGCCAACTCTCTAGCACAGCTGAACAACTACTGTCATGAGGACAGAAACCGCTGAAAGTCATGATATGTTCATGGCCACGTACCACGAATACTGGGATAGAAAGCCAAGTCTGGAGGAGAATAAAGGGGATATGATATGACTTGCGATCCTCACAAATCAAATGGAACATCCGTATTGCGACAGGTAACCAACCAACTAATTACATTGGTCATATGTGGTTATAATATATTACATTATAAGTTCTATTTCATTTATAAGCGGTGAAGTTGACCGGTAAAATGCTTATAACCACCAACCCGCCATCCATGTCCCTGACCTGTGCTGCTTTCTCCACAGCACTGGCCTCTGCTTTTTCAGCTGCCTGGTATGCGAGGTGATAGAAATGGGCAGGTACCAAGAATTCCATTAATATAACATGTCTGGATCTAATCCAAAAAAACAATTACTCTGCAAAAATGGGTGGTTTAGTGTGGATGTCTTCAATTCGGGTATCTAATGTATATCAATGTTGGGGATAGCAAGATACATGTGTTTCGGCGTTTCCACGATATGAGAAAATAAGGTGCCGAAGAACTAAGAGCTCATGAAAATTCATGTTCTGAGACTTAGTAGTATTCAAATCTTGCCATACCTGTGTTTTGCCCTCATACCTGAAGGCCAGCGAGCCACTTTTGCATCCTTCCATTTCCTCATCCCTGAAAAGGATTATTTACCTCTCAAAGAATTGTGACACTTAGCTATGACAAATTACCAGAGGGTAACTTCCCATTGAATCCCGTGAAAATCCCTGAAATCCCCATATCATTTAAGTTGATATTTAACCACCGTTGTTCCACCATTTTGTGTTTCCTTCCCTTTAACCATCTTTCAGTCAAGCCGTCAAGCCCGTCCGTGAACCAACCGGGGTTGGTAAAAGATCATTGTGATCTGCCCAGGTATGACTTGCATCAGATTCATGGAACAGTAGTTCTTGAACCAACCATTCCAGGTTTCACAGTTCGATCTATTTTGTAGGGTTTAAATCGTAATTTTGGTTATTTGATATCAACCTCGCAAATTGAATACTCAAATCCTTTCTCTAGAACACATCTATTTCGGTGGCTCAAACTCGACTTAAGTTTCCATGTACATATCAGCAATCTTGAGGTTTTCCCCAGCAAATGTGTGTGTGGGTCATCCCTGAGACATCAGGCAACCTTCAGCATGGACAGCCAGGCCATGGTGGATTCACCAAATCCGCCATGGTCAATGCACTGATGGGCTATTCTCAGGGTCTGTGTTGGTTACCGGGATGATATATCTATATTTATATGTTTATATATATAATTTACATATATACATATATATATAGTCCCATCATGGTTGGATTTATATATATACACCTCAATAATCAATTAAAGCTCCCATTATGATGAGGATATAAATCTGCTTTTTAAGGAATCTCTGGGAATTGGAATCCCGTCTTTCGTTCATATTAAACACCCCAAATATATGCGGTTTCACCATGGTTTATTGTTCTTTTAAAATGTGAACGGGGGGATGGGATTAGTTTTGAATTCTTACCGGTGATTTGACACTTCGCTATTGAATAATTGTCATGAGTAAATCATCGAACTAAATGGGCTGTTTAACAATGGTGTTTATTAATGGCACCATTAAATCTCATTAAATCGGCATTTATGAATGATTTTCCCATTAAAACCACTCTTTATCATAGCTATCTGAAAAAAAAATCCAAAGGGTCAATGTCTGCCTGAAACTGCAACCACCATGGTGCAAGGTGGCGCACCTGCAGGGTCTGAGCCTCCTCCACTGCTTCAGCAATTTCCTCAACCAGCCCTCCCCCTAGCTCTGATGCTCTTCCAACATGCTGAGCATAAATGTCTTACCATCAGAAATGGAGGTTGTTTACCGGTTTTACCATTCAAAAAATGGCACTTCCACGTGCCAAATTGGGATAATTAGAGTTTATGGCTTTTGAATCACTAAGAACCACTGGGAAAAGCTTATTGACCATCACTTATTGCGGGATCGAAATGAAGGGGTTGAACGGCCATGATATGAGGATGGGGGAGCGAACCACTCACACAATCAACCATTGTGGTTTAAAATGATGTCACAACCAGAAAATTATCAAACATTGTGATTTTCTGGGTTTAGATAGCAACCCCTGTTCTTCCTAATTAAATATACATATATACATACATATACATATACATATATATATACATATATATATATATATTATATCTAAGATTATATAAGGAACATTAAGGAACAAGAGCTTGCTTCCCAGAACTGGGCAGGCGCGGCCTCCTATTGCTGTTTGGTTACTGAGCCGCTTGGGAGATATGGAGTGTAACTGGACGCATAGGGAACCATGAATTGATCACCTAAGCAGCCGGATTCAACGACCCCCCCAACAAAAACAAGACATAAATCTGTCAAATACCCTCCCATACCCTCCCCCAAATTAATGAATTGCCCATTTCCAGTGGAGAATAATCCTCCAGCCCCTATTTTGCCATGGTCTATGTTGCTTTTGTGGGGTAAAGGATGGCATGATCCAAGTGAATTGATGGCTAGCTGGGAAATCTCCTATGTAAATGGAAGCTCTAATTGGAACATCACGTCATCACGTATAAATTGATAAGTTTATGGACATTGCCGGAAAAGGTCACTTCGTCCTCTTCTGATCTATCGTACTATCGATGATACAAATTCTAAGCTGATTCCTCGCCAGGATGAGCACTGAAGTTGATATTGCATTGGACTTGCTGGCGAAGGTTTCAACACCACAATTGACTAATTCACTGGGACACCAGCGCAAGTGCCGCAAGGGACATTGTCTAACCAATATATAACCGATCTCCTGACGCTTCATACAGATACTATCGCAACCAAGATTATATTGATAGTTACCCAACTGATGAGAACAATATTATGTTGGTAGTTTCCTAACGCACTAATTCATAGACAAAAAAAAACGCGCCTGCGCCAGTTCAGGCTCCGATTTTTTCAAGGCTTCGACCTCTTCGATCCGTGGGAAAGCCATTGGTGTTTGTACCAGTTATGTGATATATACTGTATCAATTAATTCGTGTGATCATAACAGGTTTTACTGACATAATTTTATATGTTGTGTATCATATATTATGTACAGTACATACACCTCATGTCATGTGTACTTGTCAGGCCAAAATGCCAGTGTTGTAGGCTTCTTCTCAGCTATGACTTATTGCGCTGTCTTCCTTGGGTGTTCTTCTTTCTGCACAACTGATTCCACGGTTTCTGGCTCAAATCCACATATTTGTCAAGATGTTTTGACCTTGTTGATCCAAAATTCTTTCCACCTTACAATGAACCACCCCTGCAGTGCAACCCATATCCAACATGGTGCATCTCTTCACTTTCAGGGGTCCAAAATGGAATTATATTGGTGGTCCTTGAACCATCTTGAACTTGAATCGTTATCTTCAATAAATCTCTCTATATATATACATAATATGTATGTATATATATATATGTATATATATGTAAACATATGTATATATATCTATATACACTATATATATACACTATATATATACACATCAATCTTAGGCATTCATTGGGCTATTCCCCCTACCAACAGTAGATGATGCCGCTGGTGACGACTTATTCGCGAGGGGATAACATATTGGGCATTCCCAGTGGGAGGTTTTAGTGGGAAAGTCATTGAACTAGTCATGGGGATTGTTCCAGTCATGTTTGACGACCGGACATGGACATATATGGTTAATATATGGTTAATATATGGTTAATATATGGTTAATATATGGTGGTTAATCAGCTATAGATGGTGGTTATATAGATGTCCGTGAAAAACATTTGGCATACTGGAGATTCCGATGGTGAATATGTTTTTTTCAAGCATCGGATGTCAGGAAAACTTCCATGTCTCAAACCCTTAAGAGCCGCTCTCAACATTGGAACACACAGAGGACCCATTGCTTTCTCAACCAGTGAATTGGATGACAACTTGGGCTTCCTATTTCAAAAACACCATCCAACCTTGTCGCATATGTTGTGTAATGATCATCCAATAATTATCTACATACTTCTCCAATACCTATCCAATACATCCAATTACTCATCCAATAATTATATACCAACCCGAAACCCAGGTAATATTGTACTTGTGTCCTAAACAGATCCTGACTTTTCGTCCCAGGCGCCTCTCTCATGAGAGCCTCCACCTTCGGGTTTTGAAGGCGCCATATGCGAAGCAGTGAGACTTAAACATGTCGAGTTTTCATACATTTCAATCAAAGAAAACAAATCCAGGAAGAAACCTGTGGGATTTTAGACACACCCTCATTCAATGTTCCTGTAGAATATGTCCTTCATTCAACACAAATGCTGAGTAAAGCAATTTTTACATGGCCTAAACCAAGGGAAATGAAAAAACATTCGTTGGCATCATCCCAAAGCCAGCATTCAACCAGGAGTTGAAATATCGTTGAAAAATGTTGAAACCACAAACCCGGAGTTAAGGCTACTTTTCTTCAAAACAACATGTAGTTATGTAATAGTTATGTACTAGCTATGTATAGCTATGTAATAGCTATGGAATAGTTATGTAATAGCTATGTAATAGTTATGTACTAGCTATGTAATAGCCATGTAAAAGCTATGTAATAGCTATGTAATAGTTTTGTAATAGCTATATATGTAATAGCTATGTAATAGCCATGTACTAGCTATGCAATAGTTATGTAATAGCTATGTACTAGTTATGTAACAGCTATATATATATGTAATAGCTATGTAATAGCCATGTACTAGCTATGTAATAGCTATGTAATAGCCATGTACTACCTATGCAATAGCTATGTAATAGCTTTGTAATAGCTATGTAATAGTTATGTAATAGCTATGCAATAGTTATGTAATAGTTATGTAAGAGTTATGAAATGGTTGTGTAATAGCTATTACGTTGTTATGTATATAATAGCTTTTGCATAGCTATGTAATAGCTATGTAATAACTATGTAATAGTTATGTAATAGCTATGTAATAGTTCTGTAATAGCTATGTAATAGCTATGCAATAGTTTTGTAATAGTAATGTAATAGTTATGTAATAGCTATGTCATAATTATGTAATAGCAATGTAATAGTTATGTAATAGCTATGTAATAGTTATGTAATAAGATTGTAAAAGTATGTAACAACTATATAACAGTTATGTAATAGCTATGTAATAGCTATGTAGTAGTTATACAATAGTAATGTAATAGCTATGTATATAGTCAGGATTGAACTTTTCGGAAATACTGGAGGACCGACTCACGCCGACTCAAGCCCCCAATTACATGGAAGGAGGCCGTGTTCTCAAAAGTTAAGTGTCCCAGATGAGTTTCCCCTGCAATAATCTTAGTGACTTCCAACAGATTTGGAGAAACCAAAAACTATGAGCGGATGACATGGTATTCAACCGGCAACAAAGACCCAACGCTAGACCAGGCATTCATGACCCAAGCGGAATAGAATTCCCAGGATCGATTTCATGGCAGAGTTCTTCAGTCAGGGCCAGGCAATAGAGGATGAGGCCAGAAATAAGGGACTTACCAGATCTATCAACCAGTTCGCAAACGTTAAAACTCAAACCCCAAAGGTGGTTTTTCAGAACATCATCGTTTACTGGATAAATCAGGATAGATCATGATGAATCGATGTCTAACTGCACATACTATACATGTTATCAACTATCGACATTTTATCATGGGATCTTTCCAGGAATCGGCCTTGCTGCCCTGGTCAAAAATCCCATTTATTTTGAATTGCAGGTTTTACAATGTGGAATCCAGAATAATAAACCATTCCCACGTGTCAACTATTTAGAGAGCTATTATTAGAAACAATCTCAAGTTGAGGTATCAACAATTTCATAAAGCACACTTCAGGGATGTTGATTTTTGGTGTATTCCCCACCAAAAAAAAATCCATTCTGGAATCTTAAAAATCCCCACCAGTCAGGGGATCAACAGGAAGGAACCCCCAAAGAATTGCTAAGTTATCTAAGTTGGTGTATAATAATTTTGGATAATGTTGTGGTTCATTTCATGGATATATTATGACTGCTAATTTAACAAAAAAAATCATGGCCCATTTAGTTCGATGATTTATCCATATGTTAAATTATCAAAGGATATGTAGTTAGATGAGAAGTGACCAAAACCCGCCAAAACCCCAGTTCATTGATTATAATAGGGAGTTCCACTAGGTAGTTTAATGGAAATTCTCATCATGCACTAAGGGAACCCCTATCAACCCACTACCGTAGGATGCTCTGCATCTCGGCTTCTGGCTTGGCCCGCCTGCTGTTCCGCGGTGGATCGGGCCTTCTGCATATTCCAGCGCAGTTCCACCAACTGCAGCTGGGAGCCGTGCGGATTGCACATGAAGTTTATATTCTATAGATTTGGATAATTAATAGTAAACCAATGTATATGATAGATATATGTATTACTACACGCAGAGTACATTCATGATTATACAATATTGTATGTATGGACCTGTTTGTGTATGTATCTAAAAATACATTTTTATATATAGGAAGCCTAACCGCAGAATTATATTATACAGAGTTGCCAGAAACAGGTGCGCAGAATTTCCCTAAATGAGTTCTGCCAAAGAGGGAAAAAAACCGGCGATAAGTTACACTGAAACCCCACAAAACACATCCAATCTTTGATACAAGTGCTGAACACGTGTTTTCTGAGCTGTGTAGTTCTATAGATTTCGGCCATAAATATAATAATATATATATCTATATAAATATGATATGATACGATATGATATGAAATGAAATGATATGATATGATATAATATAATATGATATGATATAATATAATATGATATGATATAATATAATATAATATCGTATAATACAATATAATATAGAATATTATATAATACAATATAATCTATGTAATATAATATAATGTAATGTAATATATATATATCATAATATATATATATGTATAAAAAATAACCTTGTCACATGATGTCCCTCAAATTTAGCTTGAAAATATCCAGGCATGTTGGCTAAACCCTCCAATTTGGTTGGGTGAAACACCCGCCCTTTGGTTGCTTTTATGCATATTGAAGCTCATTTAAGTATACTTATATAACTATGGAAAATCACAATTTATAGATTATTTAGCGATTAATCATGGTGATTTTTCATAGCTATGTTAGTTTACTGGAGGGTAACCATACCATACATCCACCATTTTCAAATTAATGTGCTCCCCGCTCCAACAGCAGGCCTCCTGCTCCGCTTTGAAAATCATCTCTGCCTGTGTGCGGAAAAACTGCCGCCTCACCACATCCAAATATCCTGCAATTGGGGTCTAATGAATGGGGTATACCCTCCGGGAATCACAATGGGAAATCCCTTATAAATGGAGGTGTTTATTGGAACATGATCGCTGGATGTTTGACTGCCATCTACCGGATATCACATCCGTTTTCTGAAAATTCCACCAATTGGGGTGTATCTATGTACCATCCATTTCCGGGATCTCGGACCTTGATCAACAAAAGCCGAGAAAAATCAATGGATTTCTCCATGTTGGTGTAGATTTTGGTATCTCCAGTAATTGGGGGAGTCATATACGTGTATGTCTTGTACCTATGTCATGACATAATTATATACAAATACATGCAGAATATATATATACACATATCATGTATCATACAAAATCATGTATAATCAAATGTAGTATGTATCTATGCTGTGCTGATTTCAAACATTTTACTGTGGGATGGGAGATGGACTTGGACTTGGATATATCAACTTTGATCATATCACCGACCCAACCGCCACTTTTAATGCCAGTTCATTAAGGATCTTGAGGATCTTCAACATTTTACTATCATTGTAGTCTTAAGAACTGAATTGTTGGGGGCTGTTAACCATCATCGAGCCTGATTTGTTGGGCTTGTTGAACCCCTAATGTGTTCTTGCAAGCCCATACACGCAACCGCCATGGATCAAAACCAAACA